CAGCAGGCATATGGTAATATTTTTAAAAATATTATTCCCCTGTTTCATTGTTTCTTTTACGATTTAACTTTATTAAAATTCTGTTTTTAGATTTTGTATTTCTTTATTTGTTTTCTACATGATACATTTTATGATAGCTATTTTACTTAGTTAATATGAATGATTCACTAACTCCTTTGCCTACCCTCGGCGTCTGTCCACTCATCATTTGACTGCACTTCAGAGCACTCATCTTTCTCTCATTCTGGTTTATCAAACATGGCCATAAAATCAGCTAATATGACCAAATGCATTTGCATGGCTCGTACATATCCACAGAGCAAAAGCCAAGTTGCTCAACTCCAACATTTGCACATCTCACACTCGGGTGTGAAAATTATAATTGAATTCAATAAAGTTGTCGTGTGATGGCATTTGATTTTTCCTAATTGCCTGGCTGCAACCTCTCTCTTTCTCTTTCTGGATTTTTTCCCTTCCTGCATAAAGTGGCAAATCTTACGATTTCAATTAACGATTCGATTCGATTTGAGAGGTGTGGAGGTGGAGAGGTCACAGCCCATCACAATTCCAGCCGTCGGTCCATGTGACATTAAATTACGTTTTTATTTCGTTTGCCGTAAACCGGAAATTGCGACATACGCACGGAAGTCAAGTCAATAAATGGCGAAGCTTTCCACCCATCTCCTACCACCCCCTTTTATTTTCCCAACCCCCTCAGCAGCTCAAAACTAGTTACACAAATTGCTCGAAAAACTCAATAACATTTATGAAACTTGAGCGAAGCGAACTTCTCCATTCAATCGCCCCCCTTTTACACCTCCCATGTGTTCCGAAAAGAGAAATTTCCAAAAAGAAAATCAGGGGAAAAAAGCCAGGGAAAAAATTGTTTTTCAATTAAAAAGTTTATGTTACTGCTGCTTCTGCTGCTGCGTGCAGACAAATTTGCCATTCAATTTGCCCGCTGGACACGAAGGGGGTCAGTGTCAGGATATGGGATTTTCAGGGGGTTAAGGTGGGGCAACGAGGGGTTAAGGCGGGGCCAGGTGTCTGTGTGGTCTCACTGAACGTGCTCAGGTGTACAACTTGGTTACGAGTATGATGCATGCTGGCTGCCATAAATTGTCGAGAAATGCGTCCGATTTTCAAGTTAATTGTTTTTGTTATAGTTTAAAGAAAAGTGGGAAAAAAATTGGGGAACAATTCGATGGTGAATGAGTAACGTTTGCAAGCAAAAGCATTATTGAATTTAAATTGAAATTTTATTTTTACAAAATGCACATTAGTTAAATAAGAAATAAATACTATTGAGATCTTTATTTTACAAATTTAAATTATAAAATATGTTTCTCAATTTAAAAGCATAAAATCCATTTTTTGTAGGCAAAGATAAACCCAAATTTATAATTATTGAAGTATTAAGTGATTTAATTATTTTTTTAGAAGGTAACTTTAAATTATTTGAACTATTTTTTATTCAATTCTTTAATCTTTTACTAACATTAATTTTTACCTTTTTTATCTTTACTGAATTAACAAATTTTAAGCAATCTGGTAATACAACCAAATTTAAGTGTTATTAAATCGCATTGCAGTGACCTCTTTACCTTGCTCGTTATCTGCGATCTGAGTCGACCACCCACAGGCAACAGTCACCAAGGTGTTAAACATGCCCTCCATTTCCCGGCCATTTCCTTCGACTTCGTTTGCCCAGCGGAGAGTAAAAAAAAACACTGATAAGTTGACTGGCTGTTTTTCCAGCCAAGTTTACATAGCATTTAACACTCTCTTCACTCATTTTTTCTGTTTGGTCTTATGTGCCATAAATTATGCAGAGTGTGAGCATATTTGATGTCCTCCGCCCGGCGATTCGATGCCAGGAGCACCTGCTCCCCGACTTCTTGGGGCATCATTAGCAGTCCACAGGCATATGAAAAAACACAGAAAACCCAACCGAAAAGCGAGAAAAAATTCGGAATTTTTTGTCGCCCGCATTAGGGATATGTGGGTGGATATACCTATATGTATCCCCTTTATTATTTATGCCTGGCACGTCGATGGTGTGGAAAACCCTTCCCCCAAAGTCCAGGTTAAGTTATTTTCCACCACCCCCAGCCGAAAACTCGATAAGCTGCTTTCTGCGGCCGGCTGTTGTTAATCTTAACACAACATTTAACTCAGCCTTGTGGCTATCTTTGGGCGGCCAGGAGAAGGCACCCAACCACCCACTTTTAACCACCCACCGGGAGTGCAACATTCGCAGAGCCACGTGTGCCACATTAGATTCGTCGCCAAGCACGCGGCGCATTTGTTGTACTTTCAGGCAACTTTTCCCTCGCCCCGATGCAATTGACTTGAACTAATCCAAATATTATCGCCAACAAAGGGGGAAACGTGGGTGGATGTGGGCAACAATTGCGATTGTCGCATGCCAACATCATTAAAAATTGTTTTGATTAATAACCAGAACGCAGAAGCACGCGTCGGCCCTTGTCTTTTGATCAGCACTTTTATTTCGTTTCTGCTCCGTTCTTATTTTCCGTCAATATTTGCGAAATGCGGAACACAAATTTTAAAAATTCTCCCCAGAGGGAGAGTTATCTAGAGATTTTATAATTGCTGGCGAGTTATCAAGGGGAAAAATGGAAAAGAAACCAAGAATATTTGTTTGCTCGAACAAAGAATTGTTCATGTTTGCCTGCAAATTGTACAATGAGCAGCTGATGATATCAGTTTTTTTACCTTTATATGGGGGTAAGATATGCTAAGCAAACGGTACGTGTCGGAAGAAATGATTCCCGGAACAGATGGAAAATTTGACAGATATCGAGGTTTATGAACGATCCACAAAGAGTGGAAAAAACCATTACAATTAATATCTAATAAATATTTGATTGGTTACACATTCATTTGTAAAGGTATATTTTATTTAAATTTAAAAATAAATTATTCACAAAGTAAGACAAAGATCCCATCTACAATTTAATTTATTTTTATATTATATATCGTTCTTTCGAGCCAAACATCAAACCTTGTTTCACATTAAACATCTCCAATGGCGCCTCTGTTTATGTTAAACTCAGCTGTTCCCCAAAAATCGATCCATAAAACAGATACGTTTTATAATTTGTTGTATCGCCGGTTGATCGTTACGACCTCTTGACGAATGCATCGCAGAGCGCCACTCAAATCGGAGTGCCATCAGGTTATTGGGGCTAAGTGAAAGTAAATTTTTGGTATTTTTATGGACATCCATTGGGCTGGGGACAGATACAGATGCCATTAATGTTGCATTCCATTACGAATCTCTTTTCTTCGGCGCTGGAGTGTTGAAAGCTCTTTTGTCTGTCGCCCAGTCGCACTTCACACCGAATTGCTTAATCAGAGTGCTTCTTTCTTCTATCCGTCGCATCAAAATCGTCTATATATCGCATATATATCGGGTATATATCCATAAGCGCATTCTTTAAGTGTGGCCGAGGCCCAGTGGCTTGACAAAGGCGATTAAAATAATTGGCCAGCGACGATTCTTCGATTCTTGTCCGTGGTAAAAGCCATTCCGAGCTGATTTATTGCATTATAAATTTGTGCGCATGCCTAAGAAGCTAAGATTTTGAAATTTTAGAAAGTTGAAAGTCCCCTACCCCTCCCTCCGCCGAAGAGAGCCCTACCTTCTTCCGAATTCTCCGCACTCGGATATTTTATTAGCTACTACGCATCTATAAATTATGCCTAATGAGGCGGCTAGACGTCGAAGACAACAAAAGTCTGAGTTCTTGAGGCTGGGCCCTTTGAATATATGTACGGATATGTGTGTATTTTGAGTACTTTGGACTGCGGGGGAAATGGTGTGAAATTGTAATTGGATTGGAATGCGCAATGAGGCGGAAATGTAATGCAAAATGTTGAAACAAATGGATCTTGTTTGTCAATTAAAGTGTGACCATAAAACATGTCACAATGATGTATGCCCAAAGTGGATTTCATAATCCCCGGCACACACAGAATTACATGAATTTTATACTTTTACGAGCGGCTGATTCAATTGGAATTTGGTCGTTAACGAAGTGAACGATCTTATGGCTTTAATATAAAGTTTTGACACTTGGGAGTTTATGGTGGCACTTGATTAGTTTAAAAATTAAAATATAAAAATTACAAAATATAAAAAAATTTCCAAAAACAAATGAATCTCTTGAAAATTCAATGACACATCCTTTTGCTCGTAACTTTCCCATTATTCAATCAGTTATCAACCTAAGTGAATGTAAATCCAGTTTCTTATCAAACCTTTGGGCCGCCAAATAGATCATTCCAAACATCATTCCGACTATCAGCACCACCATCATCATTTTGTGGGGACGAATGTTACGACACATGGATTCTGGGTAAATAAGAACCCTTTTTTTTAGCTAACTGGCCTTAAAAATGAAGAGTGAGGATGGGGAATGCGAGGGTCATGGCGACAGCAATAATTCAAATGGGAGCAGCATTACTCAAAAGGCGAATTGTGTGTGCGGTTGACAGTCGGCGGAGCTAACGAATGAAACCCTGGCCTGTTCCCTTTGGTTTTGATTCATGGTCGTTGGCCACTGGCCCGTTCTTCTTCTTCATCATCAGCTCTTGGCCAGGTCTAATCGCCTTGGCGACACCTATTTTCGTAGGCGCGACATCCCCCGGCCCCCTCTGCAATCCACTCCATTTGGGACCCCAAGTCACATTCACATCCGTGCGTATGAGCATCATCAGTTGCCAGACCGTAACTAAAATGAGACGCCAAACAAAAAGCAATTACGTGTGCTGCCTGCCCTTTTGAGTTACTGAAAAGAAGGAAAGGGTGATTCGGGGGAGTAGGGTGATTCGTTTGGGGTTACCAGCATTGAATAAAATTCCTTATCGCCATGAGAGTTGCACGCGAAGAGAGGGATATCTTTGGGATGGGAGCGTGAAAAGCGATCGGTAGAGTCGAAACCCTAAAAGTTCCTAGCCTTAATCGTTTAATAAAAAAATATATACGTTTTATTTTTAATGCTCAGTGAAATAAACTACAATCTGGCGGGGTATATCCTTCCAGTTATCCTTTATTGTTTCCCATGCGGTTGTGGCATTGGTAGCCAGTTCGTCAGCTTTCAAATCTTTTAATTTTTCCTTCAGCTTGGGCTTCACTATATCTTTCATTGTATTCCAGAAGGCAGAACTGGTTTCCTGATTCTTAATGCTGCCTTCGCAGACCCGAAGAAGTTCCTCTTTTTGTAAAAGTTCGCTTCTTAGCCGATCCAATTCCATGACATTGGCGTTATTTAACTTGATATCATCCAGTTTTTTCAACGAGTCGTTGATCTGCGACTCCAGTGTTTGTAATTCCTGTTCCTTTGCTTCAATAAGTTTACCATATCCAGCGACTATATTTTTTAGTCTGTCACTAGAACACAAACTTTGGTGTGAAATCAACAAGAGTGCAAAAAATACTATATATTTCTTCATTATTTTTTTTTGCGCTCAGATCAGACTTGATATGTTGACGACGACTCAGCGTACTAAACTAAAATGGAAATAATCTTCATTCATTTAATTTTTGCACCATAGACTGTTGTTTACAATCTATGTGAGCCATTAATTTGTATTGTATATATTGGATGATTACAAAGTCTAAATATAAATGGGGTGACTTCATTTCAATAGAATAAAGGCAGGTTCAGTTGTCAAGGAATTGTAAACATATTTAATATTTTCTTATTCATCTAAAAATTGTATTTAATTTTATATATGCCTCAAATTATATAAATAACATAAAATAATAAAAAAAATGTTGTATTTTTTATTTATTTTTGAGTATTTTTTTAACTTCATATTTTTATGCAGTTTTCATTTTATTCAGAAAATTTTAAAATTCACTACAAAGTGCACTCATTTGTATTTCCCTCGTGATTTTATGCCACCACTAGCTCAAAGATTCATAGCTCAGATATATGAACAACAGAGAGCGAAGTACTGAGAAGCCCAAGATACGTAGTCGCCGAACAAAAGGCAGTGGCAATTAATCTTCGCTTCTGAGTTTGGCTTCAAGGTGAATTGTGTGGCATGCGCCCGAGGGCCAAAAGCCCGATGTGTTTGGGTCTCTTCCTTAACCCACGAGGCCCACGAGGCCCCCGCTCCCTGCTAATGACGGTGGGTTAAATGCCGTGCTGCATTCAACTTTAACTCATTGAATTATAAATTATGCCTGCCTCGATTTGTGTGTACGGTGGAGAGTGGGAAGAGGGAGAACTTTTGGCATTGCCCAATTGACAGCTATTTTTGGAGGTCCCCTTCTCCTTCCCTCTGAACGAAGAGCACCCAAGAGCAAACCATATGTATCCGAAGCCACGACCTGGGTAATTTGCTTTATGATCCCAGCCTCGACTTTTGCCTGGGGCCTGCTCCCTGGGCCGATTGCCAAAATCCAGAAATCAGAACCCAGGGCCCAGGATGTCCGAGAACGTGTGAAAAACTCAGTCAGGCGTAAGTGCGCCCGGTATAATTTCTGGGATAGGGACTTTCGGGCTCGATTCGGAATGGGACTGGGTTCAGTGCACGTGGAAAATATGCTCCTGTTTTCGGGCTCATCACGGCATGCAAAGGATCGAATGGAGTTCACCGGAGTGTAAGGCATGGACACACAGCGCAAATCACCTGGAAGTAATAGCCATCGGTAGTATCTACCGAAAACAATGACAGCCTTTTCTGCAATTTATTGATTCTGTCTGACATTGAAACTGGAGCTGCTGATGTCTGCATTTGTTTCGGGTCGTCATGAAGGCGACTAAACGTGAGTTTGATTAATGTTTAAAAACGATTTGGGATTGGTCAAGTTAAAGGTAAATGAAAAGATGCAGAAAATAAGCAAATTATATTTGCATAATCAGAGAAAAATAGAATGATTGAATTTAATATTTAAGGAAAGTTTTACAATACCCAATAACTCTTTCTTCTCTCTCAACTTTTCATTTTCTATATAGCCATGCATACATTTTTAATAACCCATATAAGAACTTGAAGTTTCCCAACTTATAGAACTCTTTCTACTTCTCAGCTTCAAATGCAAGCCGCAGGCAAAATTGTCGAGTCTGAGATGACCCACATATGTATTACCCAGACTTTGGGACGAATCTCATCTCATCTCACACTTCTTGGGGCTCTTCTTTTGTCTTCGTTTCCATTTTCCCCCAGCCTCTTGGCTTTTTGTGTTGTTATCTTAAGTGCACTTTTGAAGTGTTTTATTTATTGCACGACTTTTTCCTCTCGCCGCAGTTTTCTCTCCTTCTTAAATGCGGAAAGTGTTTCATAATTCAGAGCCGTAGTTTGACTCCAATTTCGATGCGGATTCAGATTCTCATTTCCCATCTCCCCTGCCCAATTCCTCACTTTGGACCACACGTCGTCAGTGTCGCCAAGTGTTTCTTCGGCTCTTTGGCTGGATATGATGGTATCATCTCGATTCAATCCAGGGGCGCGTTATGTGTGTGGCTTTTATGGGCTGGCCATAAAAGAAAACTAAAAAAACTTAACAAAATACTTTTTTCTTTGTTATTTATATTTGTTACAGTTTGAGCGCATCTTTCGGACTTTTCCTACGGTTTTTTCTTTTTATCTATCAGGGCGCTGTCTCTAATTGCATAGAACTGCGACCGCCCATTCCCATAGACAATATATGGGCATCTTCTCGTTTTCGGGATGGCTTTGTTTTGATTGCTGCTGGTCGGAGATCTGGAAACAACGTTTATGATGATGCGATTCGGTCCATAAACATGCCGGACTTCAGATAAGAAATCGTTTGTCTTGCTCTTAAGCAGATAAGTCGGTCAATTCATTAAATATAATTTATTTTAAAATATTTAGATAAACTTAAATTTACCTCAGGAACAATTAGGTAAAAATCATTGATAATAAATTTATTTATTAAAACAATTATTGTCGGTCGAGTTTAATCCTTTCATTTATTCGTTATGGTTTCCTGTGTGGTAGTTAGATTCAAATTTAAAATATTAAAGTTCGTTCTCGAGCTTAGGCCTTACTATACTATACCTTAATTGTTTTTCAGCTTTTTGGATTTTTAAGTCTTTCTACATTTTAAAGTCTCTTTTACTTTGTGGTTTACTTCGTCGCTTTGCCGTTCCAACTCCACGATTTCAACAGATAGTAAGATATTGGCATTCAATTTTTCTAAAATGCCGGTTTTTTGCGAGCCCAGTTCGTGAGCTTCCCTCAAAAAATCACATTTGTCAATGCAACACAAGCTTAGGTGTCAAATCAACAAGAGTACGAAAATACTATAAATTTCTATGATGTCGACGACTCAACGTTCTGAACTGAAATGAAAGTAATCTTTATTCAAATGGAATATTTTTTACAATCTTGTGATCTATTAAATGTTAAATATATATGGGATGATTAAAAAATGTAAATATAAAAGGATTGTCTTAATTTTATAAGAACAAAGAAAGGTTCAATTGTTAAGGATTTGTAAACATCTTAAGCATTTTCTTGTCTATACTAAAATTGGCTTTAATTTTATGAAATTCTTCAGGCATCTTTTTCTGTTCCCCTTAGTCGCTTATCAACATTAATCACTCTTTGTTTATACTTCAATTTTGTTTCGGGTTTTTAATGGTTCATTTCAATTGGAATTTGATGCTAGATGTCTCGTCTTGGTGCTCTGAAAAGTTGAAACATGAGCCGCTAAACATTTCGAAAGAATATGAGGCTTAATTTTCTTTTTTTATTATTTTCGAAATGCAGTTGCTTATCTCGCTAGCTGATAACCTTCACAAGTCTGGGCGTAGAACAAAGAATAATAGAGAGTGAAATTGTAATATTTTCCCCATTGGATGGCGAGGCCCGCACTTCAAGTAACCCTCTGGATGAATGCCCTTCCCTTGTTCGATTCCCACAATCGAGCTGAGAACTGAAAGCAATTTGCAAAATGTGTTGAGAATCTTTTGGGTGATTAGAGCCCGACACCGGGACTCGAATGTCACTGCCAGCCAATTGATTGATATTCGATCCACAGGGGCAGCGTAGATATTTACCAAAGTGATAACCTTAGTTCGGGGCCGGATTATGTTGTGATCCGATCGACGTGTGCGCTCAGTTTTCCCATCACGTGCCACACGCGACCTTGGTTTTATTTTCTGCGACATTTTCTGCAACATGCGGCAACCTCTTGAATTTCACTGGAAAATCTCGCTTTTTTCCGGAGGGGAGAAGTCCGGGCAGCGGAGGGTTAATGTCGGGATTTGGCGGCTCTTCAAAGCAGCTGCAGCATTTTCCTGGCAAGCGAAAAATACGCCAGAATCCCCCTGTCTGCGGCTACTCTTCTTCACATTTTCCTGGCTTTTCGCTTTTTTCTACTCCATTTTTCTTTTTTTTTGGCATCTCTGCACTGTCTATGCGGCAATAAACCAAATTAAAATCACAAATTAGCCTGCTGCAGTGGCACTCAGTCGGCAAACTTATGCTTTACTCTGATTTATGTTATAGTTTTTAGACAAATTCGAATTAAGTTTTAACATAAATACTTAGAGCACTTTTGAATGGTTTTTTATTTAATAACAAATATGAATAGATTTAACATAAAATATTTAAATGGAAACTTTAATTATATTAAAAAATTAATTGATTTAATAATCATGTAAAATATTACATTTTTGTAAAGCAATTTATTGTCAAATTTCAATAAATTAAAAATATTGTAATACTTTCTTTCATTTTATAGGATTATTGTGATGCACACTTAAATTTTTGATCTCTTAAAAATACTAAAATTACCTGAGCTGCTCGATTTTTGCTTTCATTTCGACCCATATACTTATTGTGCAACATTTTCACCCAATACATTTAATCTCCCCAGCTGAAAAAGAGTATATCCAGCGACCCATATTGTGAAAAACAATCACAGTTTTCTTCACAACAAATTCTTAACGCAAAACCAATAAACAATTACGCATCCATGATCACCTCTTCGGCGGCATTGTCATTGTCATCCCCTGACCACTCGATTTCCACCCCCTTTTTCCCCTTCCTATGGCCACTTTTCACAAGGACTCTCGACTGGCGACCCTTGGCCACCAAAAATGTGGAAAGCCGGCAATCAGCGGCCATTGAATTGCATTTGCCACCGGCAATCCCGTTGCCGGATTTATGCGCCATTATTTCGTGTAATCCATGTGAAATAGGGGCACTGGACATGCGACTGCAGTTCATTTTGGGAACATTTTTGAGAACATCCTAACCACTCGAGCGAAAAGGTTGCGAAAATGGTGCGCAAGCGTAAAGACCGGAACCAGAAATGGAATAGGATCGCATTAGCCGGATGTCCGTTATGGTGGCCAGCTGTCTGTCGCATCTATCCTGCTGATTTTCCACCCCCTCGGAAGCCAAATGAAATTTGCAAACAATTCAAATGGAATTTGTACATGCAATTTTCAACCTTTTGAGTGCTTTAC